AAAAAAAAAAAAAAAAAAAAAAAAAAAAAAAACACATCATAGTAAAACCAATACCTTCTCAGCTTCGCATCGAAGCTAAAATAGGTCAATATTATTAATTGAACAACTATGGTAGGTTTAAACATAATTTTAATAATAATTTAAATCAAAATTTAACGTTAAAAATAGAATTTTTTTATTAAATTAAAAACAATTATAACAAGTACCTGATTGATGATCGTACTCGCCAATATATCTTTTTGTTAAAAATCGAACTGTCAAAGCTGAAATCGAAAAAACAGTTAAAATAATTTAAACTTATTTGATCATTTTTCAAATGGATACAATTATGATATTAATATCTATTAAAATGTATATTCATTTAAACAATATGTATTTGATTATTTCTTATAAACATTTTTAAAACATTAAAAATTAATTTTTTTCTTATTTACAGTTAAAGAAAATATTGTTTTATATTTATTTAAAACTCTATCATTTTTAATGAAATGTATTTAAATGTTAAATTCTATTTTAAACAATTTATGAAATATGTATGTAGGGTTATGCCATAGCATCGTAATTTCATTAGGTTACACCAAATGAATGGTTTAATTTTATTACAATTTAATTTTAAACTTTTACTCAATAACTTATATAATTGTGAACATTTTGAAATAATCGCATATTTTAATTACAAAATAATAATAAAAATTATTTGCTATGATGATGATGAGCAGTATCATGTTTATAAAAAAAAATTTGGTGCATCTATTCACTTGAAAAAGGGGCCATCAATAAATATTAGATATATACCATTTATAATTATTCTAGATAAATAAATTTTTGGCCTATTTAAAAAAAATTACAATAAAATATAATAAAAATGTATTACTTATGGCTAATATTATTTAAAATTAAAACTATATTAAAAATATTATTAATTTAAAACTAAAAAACTCAGCACAGTGGGGTCGCGGCATAGTTTGGTCAAGTATAATGATATCTGTCAGTGATTAAAATCACTATCATAAAAAATGCTTCGATAAAAATCTGTAGATAGTTTTAATTTTAAAAAATTGATGGTTGTTCCAAAAGCTACATGATCTGCTATTTCCTTATTTACATCCTGATTAAAGTTTTACGATTTATAAGTGTAATATATGAATAAATATTTAAAGGAATATGGTTTTATTTAAAAAAAAGTATGTCGAATGAAAAAGGGATTATTAAAAAATATTATTTCTCATAAAATAATTGTGTTGATCCATACACTATTCAATAAGTTATAGCATTATAAAATTAAAAATATAAAATAGAATTTTTTTACAAAAATCTTACTTTTTTATTAACTTTGATGTTAGTTTTTTCCATGAAAACAAACTAAAGTCTGAAAATATTCTTTTTCATAATAAAGTATATTATATAAGCTTTAATTTAATAAATATATATATATATATATATAAGTATCAGTATTTCCGGAACAAATTCAAAAATGAAGTTGAAAAAGTTCTTTTTTCTATATGCATTTTTAAGTTTTATACCCCCCCCCCACTGTATTAAGGGAAATGGTCCGATTTAAAAAAAAAGTATGCCGTATGAAAGAAGTATTTAAATATTATTTCTTATAAAAAAATTATATTGATCCATTCATTTTTCAATAAGTTATAATTATAAAGTTAAAAATGTAAAACATAAAATCGAGAATTTTAACAAAAAATAGCAAAGCCATTTTCATCTTAAAGACAACATAAAGTCCGAAATTTTTTTTTTCCATAATACAGTATATTACATTAGCTTTAATTAAATATATATATTAAAGTGTCAGACTTTTCGGAACAGTTTCAAAAGTTAAGTGTAAAAGTAAATTTTTTGTGAAAAAGTTGTGGCAGTTTTAAGTAAAAAAATTGAAAAACTTCCGAAAATTAGCTATTTTTAAATTTGTAATATTTTTGGAGATCTCCCCCATTTACGGGGAACGTGGGAAAAATTTTCAATTTTTGAGTGCAATGTCTTGGACTAGATACGATTTGTGATCTTTTGACTTATCGTTAAAAGAAATCGGTTCGTTGAGAGCTTAGAAAAGTGGAAACAGACACCAAAAAAAAAAAAAAACATCATAGTAAAATTAATACCATCTCAGCTATGCATCGAAGCTAAAATATTAAACTCAAAAAGGCACAAATAATTACTGAAAAATTGCGAATACGTATTTCGGAAACCATTATCAACGCTAAACACATACTGACACCCCTACTAGAAAAAACTCCCTTATATACACCTAGTGACGTTATCACTAAGTAATATTATCACATTTTGTCAGTTTACCCGAGTTTAATAATGAATATTTCAGTGGGTCATGATCCCAATAACAATAAAAGTAAATATTACAGCAAACATAAGTTTTGATGACAATATTGAAAAGTTTTCTGAACAAAAGCATAGATGTTTGTCAGCATAGGTTATCATTTATATTTATAAAATTTAATTTATAAAATTAAAATTCATAAAATAATCAATTAATAAATGAAAGTTTTGATTTTTATGTAATCTTGGTGGATTACCGAATGCAGTACATCTCTCATGAAAACTATTTAAATAAATTCAGTTGGCAATCTCGGTATAATTTTCGGTACTTTTTTTTGCTTATTACATAGTCTTATATAACAACCAATTAGCTGGTAAATTTGAGTATAGAACTTCATAAAATAATTGATATTTTACATTTCAATATATAGAGTGTTTAATTTTACGTAAATAACTAAATTTTTTTAAAAATAATAATAATTTTGAAAATTTTGGCTTATTCTAATAGTGTTAGTTTCTCTAATTATGAGCGGTCAAACATTTTTAAGGTGCCTTATTCAATATAATAATACCCACCTTATATATTTATTTGTAAACATACATATTTTAATAGAACGTTATATAATTTTCTAACATTTAATCTATTAATACTTATATGTTTATCATTAAAATATAAAGTTGGTATACTGATAACGGTAAGAGATAGAACTATAAAATATTTAACAAATTATAAATTGGATAAACAAAAATTACTTAACGTGAAAAGTTGCCTTTTTGTGCAAAAGTTGTTATTTTGAATACCCTTTATGGATGGGCAATGAGTATAATTTCTAAAAATACTATGCTTAATAAAAGAGAAATATTTAAAGAATTTTTAAAAATATTATGTCGATTCACATGTTGTTTAAAATATTATAACAGTTATAAAGAAAAAATGTTTTAAAAATATCGAAATTTACTGAATTTAAAAATTAAATTTTTTTGAAGATTTCCCCGATTTATGAACAAATGAAATGAAAGAAATGAAGAACAAAGGAAATTTTTTCAATTTTTGAGAGTAATGTCCTAAACTAGATACGATTAGTAATTTTTTTATGTATATAAAAAAATCGGTTTAATGTGAACTGTGTAAAATAAAAAAAAACTACTTAGTAGTTAAATTAATTCCTTGTTAGCTTAAAAACAATTCTTTACAATAAAACAACTATTTTGCATAAACTTAATGTAAATAATTTTATTTTGGCTATAAATAAACAATTGTGTCCAAATAAGTTATTTATTTTAAAAAAGTTATTTATACGAGAAAAGAATGCAAGGGAATTAACGAATAAAAATATTTTTAAACCTAATTGTATCTATTCAATTTTTATATAATTAGAAATTTATTTTATTGTTCGAATAATTTCAAAAATACTTATAAAGAGTTAAGGTTAAGAAATTAAATTGTTGAGAACCTAAATTATTGTCTAAATATTGAGGTTATTATTTTTTGATAAAAAAAATATGATTAAATTTTTATAAATCTTATGATGAACTCTAAAATCTTTTTTGTTTTCCTAACATACCACTTTTTCCAACGCCAGGTGCTCCAAGTACAGCAATTTTTACTTCTGTCAAAGAAGACTTTTTTCGCCGTATACCTCTGATGGGATTTGACGACATATTTTATTCAATAGGATAGTTGGCTATATTTATATTTTGTGACTTATTAACAATTAGACAAAATCTAATTTATCTATTGGTAAAGTTATGCGTCACTTCATTGAACAATTTTTTACTTAATTTAAAAAAAATACGAAAAATAATTGATGCGCGGAGAGTCCATTTATTCTAATAAACCGATAACGACATGTTTTAAGGTACTGACTAGTTGTTACTGTTCTTTAGTGTATTGTAATATGCGATGGCCAGAGAGCTAGGCGGCGCAGTTAAAGTCTAAAAATAGAAATTACAGATCCCAGTTTTGTGTTGCACTTAACAAAACACGCTTTTGTTTATGTATGTACGCGCGTTTCCCATATGTAATCTCTCAGATTTAAATTTAACGGTATTTCCACTACATAGTTCTTGTATTGATACCACTGTTTCCATTGTATAATGTCGGCTACAGGTTACAAATAAAAGTAGAAAGCATCACATAACATTGCATATTTTTTAACGTCTTTGTTAAGATTTTATTATTAATATACTCGTACTATGATAAACATGGCTGAATTATACGAAATCTTACGAAAATCATTAATTTTATTCAAACAAAACAGAATAACAATGTAAGTAGATTGTAAATTTTCTAATTGTATTCATAATTTTATTTATTTTATTAATCAGTCATTTATATTAAAAAAAATTATTTAGATATAGGCTTTAAAATTTGTAAATAAAGAATATTATCACTACATATTCCTAAAATAAACAATAGATTAGATATTTTTATTAAGTTGAATTTAAAGTGATTCTCTATGATTGTAAATGGAAAAAATTATATAACCTAAAAATAAAGTAAAAAGTAAAATTTTATCATTTAGTCTATAGTTTTGAGATAACAAAATATCTAGTTACACATTTATGAATATTTTAGATTATTACTTGAAAAAATTTCAATATTTAATAATTCAAAAATATATAAAATATATAATAATAATATAAAATAATATAATTGCCATTTAGATCAAAATCTTAGAAATGAAAAACTATCAAATTATTTGAACTATGCCTTAAAATTAAACACTCAAATGAATGAAAGCTCTTCATGATATCAAAATAGTAGTTAGTTACAGGTATATTATACCCGGGAATCCCCGGACCCGAGGGTGGCGCTGACCCCCCGTTGCACTACGCTACAGTGTCAGTGTGATCGGGCTTTACGGGTCTACGAAACGTCAAGGAATCGGGCACGTCCTCAGGTTGCGGATAGAGGAACGGCTTGCAGATATGCAGGTTAGCCGCGAAATAAACAGTCCATTCATTTGGACTGATGAACAATAGGTCGTGGACAGCGAGTCGCCCAGACGCCTATATGGACGAATAAGCGGCAGCATTTGGATGAGAACGGAGTATAATGGCAACGCAACCAGTGAAGTTAGCTGCTCTGTAATGCCCGGAGGGACAGGCTATGAGGGCAGCCCCCTCAAAACATATTTAAAACATCAAGAGATTCGAATGCCACAGTGCCGGCGGTTGGTGGGAGGCGTACCCACCAGGTGTCGTCATCAATTGAATACGCGCAAAATGCAGGAGTGTTGAGGCAGGCTCCTGCAGCCAACCAAGAGGTTGGTACTGCGACTGCAGAGAGTAGTGGTGACCAAGCCACTCCCACCGGTGAAATAGCTGAGAGGCAATTGGCAATGGAATGTTTGGAATCTGGACTGAATTTGGAAGCGATCAACCCCCAGATGCGTCATCAAAACCCTCCATATTAGTGAGATTGCGGAGCGCATCTAGGGGTGGTTCGGCAAGGGTGGGAGCTTCGGGTCCAACTATGGGAGTAGTTAGTGAGGTGGAGGCGGCGGAGCTGGGAGAGAACGATTCCATGCGTCCCAAACGCAAGGAGATCTCCCAGATAATCAGCCTCCCCACCATCGCATTGGAGGACATCCCGCTCAGCGCGGCTGTGCCCATGCCGGCGACACCTGTGCCCGTTCAGACCAAGAAGCCTAAGCTAGTGCCCCTGAAAGCGCTTGACTTGTTCAACGCTGACAGAACACCAAAAAGGGTGAACGGTCGGGCCGACGAGATGCTGTTTAGCCCCATTAACAGGGGCAGGCGAGGCAGCTCTCCGACGTGTTGGAGGTTTATTTCCCACACAGGCGGGTGGTGAAGATGGAATAACACTTATCGCAAGCGTAAGGGCCTTGGTTGATCTCCACCTCACCTGCTCACCTGCTGGGGGAGTCCCAAGCACTCACGTCGGACAGCCTGGTGTGCCTCCTAGACGGTGCGTCCCAAACGGATTATTGGTGGGACACGTAGACACACCACCCAAAGCCGTTGGGGACGCGGCGCCCTACCCCCTCCTTTTTTTTTTATTTATCACGACCGGCTTATTGTGAGCCGTCATTCTATTAGGCATTACTTCAGGGCAGCCCATGCTGTCTTAATAATTCACACCACCACGTTGTAAATCAGCCCGAAATTAATCAAGAACTGATTCGCAACATGGTGTGGCCCCCTCCCATTAGCCGGATCCCACAGTGAGAACCGTTAGGGAGGGTTGGCAAAATAACTCACAAAATTAGTTATAGTTTGATTTCCCATAATGAAGCTTTAATATTGTGTTGAAATATTTTTAATACTACATAGTCTGCGACGACTGACACCACTTATAGATAACAAAAAAAAAAAAAAAAAAAAAAA